CAACTTTGAAGAAAAAATAAAAGTATTACGTAAATCGATCTAAACTTTCATGTTCCCAAGACTTTCATAAAATAATAACTCATTTGTTTATTTGGAAACTTAGGTACAACCTGACACAGAAGTTGACTGTAACAAAATAAAATTATAGCTTCACTATTCCTGGCATGAGTATTAGACAAACATTATTGAAGGCGTATTTACTAATATGCTCGAGAACATAATAATCACAAAACTAATTAGGTACATCGACGATTAAAAATTTGGTCAGTGTAACAGCTTTGTCGCTAAAATTTATATTGACTGTTATTTTCAATATTATTTGCTACATCGTCTAAGCCTAGCCTAAGCTGACGATATAGCAAGAGCTCATACGCATTTTCACATAGTTCATTTTTACTCATGTTTGTTGAAGAAAAAATTATGAACTTTTTGCTCAAATATGTTATTAAAGTAATATAGTATCTGAAAGAGGTATAATTTAAGTAATTAAAATGCTAACTACAAACATTATTGCGTTTACTACATTTTACACCACATTTTTATCTTCATCCTAAAAATTGCATACAAATGACATACGAGGTATTCACTCTAAGACGACGATATAGTTCTTATTTTATTAACTTATTACTGCCTACCTACATATTTGTAATTAATTACAATTGCATATTAGGGAGTGGTTTTGTCTGTACTATTTTATTTCTCAAATTTCTAGTTCATACTAAGTTAAACTTACCTAGATTTTGTTTGCCTAATACACAGACATGAAACACGTGGCTTGTAATGTTGAACGATGCGCCCTACTCTCGTAGTTACGGCCATTTTTCTGCTATGGATGACCTACGAAACTATTCTCAAAGTCCGTTAACGAAAAGACGGGTCCATTCGAAACTGTTCTTCTGTTCGAAATTCTTAGTTCTAGTCCTGATCGAAACTCAAGTCTGCAGGTCCTACGTATAGTAGGACTACGGATTTCCTGCTTCGAGAGTAGGACCCTAGTAGCAGTCTTCATTCCCCTAAAGAAAGATAAGCAACTCTAGCTCTCTCTCTTTGACCCACACCAAACGTTATAATGAATTAATAAACTTTGGATAAAATTTTAGGTTGTTAGGAACGGTTTAGGATCAAAGTGTGTGATTACAAATGTTTGTGTATGTTTTTCAATGGATTACAAACTGTCTTAGTTCTTTATTAACACGTAATGTTTGTGATAATCGGTTCTAAGATCGGTCACTTCTCATTAATTGGTTATTTTTTAAATTTTAACTTTTTAATGATGGATTTTCAGAAAATAGTTGTAACTCTGGTGAATTTCTTTTAACATTGAGTAGGTGTGATTCATGGGCAGTTTACAAAAAAAGTCGATATGACACTCGCACAAAAACTAAACGCTCGCAATAAATAAAATGTCACCTTATTGTTTGTTTTTATTGCATTTGAATGAACAAAAGTCTGTTTTAATTACGAGGGATTATGAGAATTTTTCCATTAATTACCCTCTAAATGAGCAATGCTTGGCGCCCTATTTCGAAGTTTTTAACTTAACAAAAGGGTTGTGCTCGAGCCGTATTGTTTTCGGCTATAAATCTAAAGTATGTCGTAATTATATCGTTTAATGTGTGACAGTCGCTTTGTAGGATGTAAATGTTGTCCGGGAGCAGAGGGGAGGTGAGAGGTGGGAACCAGTACAATTCTGGGGAGCACCGGTACACCACTCTAAACTGAAGTGTTATTAGTTTTGATTTTAAATTTGGAATTTGCTTCCGTTGTTGAGAAAAATAGTAAGAAATTGATTCTTATTTACCATTTTTATTAAATCGACATATTAACGAAAATGCATATTCAATATTTAACTATTTTGAAACTTTAATTGAAATGTAAGTTGAAATTTCCATACTGCAAATTGAAACGGCGAAGTGGTACTTAGTGAACTTAATGAAAGGTGTAAATGTTATTTCTCTAATTAAAATTCACCTCTTGCATTACACTTTGTGTAGAGTCCGATCGTTTTCCAAGAAACAATACATTTAATGAACCCGTACCACTCATGCGCATGAGTGCATGCAATAATTGTAATCTTATTCGTATACTTACTATTGTTAGTTTTGTAGCCGCACAAAGCTTTGAGTGGCTACTAGTAACACTCGATGTGAGAAATAGCCGCGAATGCATTGAGATTTCATCTGTGGGAATGTGGGCACGGTCTTTGCAAATTCAAAGGATTCGATGATGACTCTCATTGTTATATTATAATAATTGATGCTCTACTGTTTAGTTTTAACTACGGTTTATGTAATAAACTACCAGAACAATTAACAGACACTGTTAAAGCTGTAGATTTTAATAATAAACTTAAAGAGCTACTAATTAAAAAAGCATACTATAAATAAAAAAATAATAACGGACACTGCGTCATACTGCAGAGTTGACGAATATTTAAGCGATAGACTTTAAAAATATAATACAAACTTACAATATAAACTACATATAGAATGAAACATATCAATGAATAAAGAAGTATGTAGTTAAATAGAATGCAAAAATAATGTTATTGGAAAGATTTAATTACATTATTCATTAGATGTAAGTGTAATAGATATTTATTGTAATATCTAGATTATAACTGGGTAATATAGAAGCTTATCGAGTTCTTAGGTTTACACGATTGTTACACATAGGAAATGAAACTATTTTTCCGGATTTAAATCGCGTATAATTGTTTTTTCAAACAAACCAACGTTTCGGGCCCTTTAGAAGTCCCATGGGTACGGTTGACTGTAGCCATGTAGTATGTAATCTGTGATATAGGACAAAACTACAAGCTTTCTTATTTCATTATCATAAAATGCTAATTATGTGAATATATTGTCATGCGCTACCGGGCCCTAATTGTTCTTAAAATTGATTGTAACACCTATTACTACTTATGGAGAGCAATAAAATTTTTGAGTACTGAGTACGCGTAAGCCCAAAATAAAGAATATTTCTCACATTTCGCTTGACATCATTACTCTCCAAGTAACCTTTGATGGAGATCCTAACGTTAAATTATCGCGTATTTAAAATAGTATTGATAACATCTTCGACGGCAACGTAGCTCCTGATCATCGGATTTTAATGGCGCCCAAATCGGGACCAATAACAAAGTATTAAAATAGCATTTGAGCAGTCAATTAGGCGGCAACGTATCGTCCATCGAGATAGCGCTATGGTGGTCCATTGTGGTCCGGCACCCTGCTGCTCGCGTCACTCTTGCGCACAATGCTACCAATGTGTTATTGCTATTCTACTACTGCTACTTTTAATATCGCTTCACTGACCACTCTAGAGGGCGGTTTTGTGGGAAGTTGTTACACTCACAAAAAATAATAAACTAATTGTTGACAAAGTTACTTTCTATTTGCCACCATTTTGTCGTATATTTCCAGAGATGGCTATCACGGCGTTACCCTCAAGTCTCTTTTTCTAAAGAAGTTGGTGAAGTGCTTGTACGATAGTTAAACATAAATCATAATAAGGAAACGGCAGTCTTATCACGTCGATATTAATCGCTTGATCGTGACAAAAAAATAATGGCAAACCGGGAGCCTTCCCGCGGCGACCTCCCAACTGTGGATGGTTGGATTGTTGCTTCACACCGTCGTTAAAGAGTTGGGCTGGTTGATCGGGGCGATAGATAAGTGTGTTCTCACCTCCCCGCGGTTGCGGACTCGCGAAAGGGTTCTCCGAATAATTGCAACAATCCATTCGAAGAGCTGTCGAACAATTTGTATGGTATTTGTGCGGGCTGTCACCCGCTGATGCTATCGCTTCACCTCAGGGTGCCGTTGGAGGGCAGTGGGAAATCTTTATAACTGTTACTTTCTCACACCTCAAGTGTATATTTGCGTAATTGAAACAGTAAATTAGTTTTATTATTGGGCTTAGAATACCCATCATCAATTAAGTGCTTAACTTTTGAGTCTTAACTAGCATTCACGCAATGCAAAACTTACAAGCAAGAAAAGAAATATTCACGCATTTTACACCACATACGTATAACCGTAAAACCATTCATTTATTTCGATTTGAACCCAAATTTATTAGCGGTGGTTTACTGGGAATTCCAAGGGTGCACTATAACTTAGCTGGAAGTCCGTAATAAGACATAAACATCAGCTCGTTGCAATATGTCCAAATGACAAAGCACTGCGGTAACGGTCCAATCATTTGTCTGCCGTAACCCTGTTATTTATGGCTCCTGCCAAACATCGAGGACAAAAACGGGGCTGCTGTTAAATATTTGCTTGAGACAAGAGGGGGCGATAATTCGAGGCTATTATGACGTCATTTCACGCCCTTTGTCCGATCGTCACGGCGTGTCATCTGCTTCTCCAGACGCCTGCCTCTACTATCTCTCGATTAAATCTATTGTCATTTTTTTCATGCGCGCGAGTCGGATGCGCCACCGACGATGATTTTGTCCCGTTCGCCAGTCCCGACCTCCCCATAAAAAACACTTGAGGAGCTGCCCCATTGTCTCGTGGCCCTTTTACGAGCTCCGTTTTGTGACGCTGTTATTGTTTGCGGTTGATAAACATCTCGCCACTAGGTAGGTAGAGATCATCACCACTTTTACCAATGGTTTATTTTAATAGAGCTTCAGCGGTTTGTTTGTCAATTATTGTTGTTTTGAATGGAATAAGGACATCAAATAGTTTTTTAGAATGGAGTTAATGAATAAGGAGTTGTTGAAGCTGACGAAAGAATGGGACTCGGCGTCGGCATTCAAACAGGATCCGAGACTAGCGATGGCTATAGACAAATTGTACAGAAGTAATGTTCAAGCGAAACAATTGAAAGCCAGTGATTTAGTTTTGCCTGAAAGAAAATTGGATTTTTATGAACTTCAAAATCTTTTGAAAGATTCTTCAAAAGATAAAGGTACGTTTTATTGACCTTTGTGATAAGAAACTTAATTAAAATAAAAAAAACTGACTAGTCATGTGTATTTAGGTAGACCATATGATGTCCTACTGAAAGAGGCCAATAATACACGGAAAGTGTTGATTAAGAAAGTAGAAGAAATTTTGGAGAACATCAACAAGAGCGCAGAAGCTGGCGAAGTACCTAAGATTACGATTAGGAACCAGAGGCTTTGGAGCAATTGCATTTACAATTTGGACAGGTATCACGTAATATTTATATAATAAAATTAACTGATTTCAACTAAGCTTTAATAACGATTAAGTAAAAGTCAAGAAAATTTTTTATAACTTCAGAGCAACCAAAAGAATGTTAACAAATTACATTGGTGAATACCAATGCAATTTGTTATTTTTGTTGTCTTTTCTATTATTATTCACAGAGTTACATTGAAATCTGAAATAGATGCAAAGAAAACAACTGTAACCTACAATAGCAAAGAAGACAGATCAAAATTCAACACCATGGTTTTCGTTTTAACAAAAGTCCATGAGTTGTTGTCGAAAAATATTACAGTTACGAGACGGTATATAGACTTTCATATTTGAATGTTTGATAATTTCAACTTTCGTTCCAAATTCAATGGTACTACTGTGTGTAAACTTTATCTTTCAGAGAACTTTTCTACCAAAACGTAACTCGTTTTAGAATTCAAACAAACTTGGACGTGGCAGTAAGAGACGTATGTTGTCTTCTGGAAACTCCGCCATGGAATCTCGGAATTGTGGCCACGGCTAAAGGACTGATTGCGGGCCCTCTTACCATGCATTATGCGGATGGAAGCATGCTTGACTGCGCGACCTTGGGAGGTAACACGAACCTTTTGCTAATTTAACGCTTATTCAGGTCTGGCAATTTATAATGTCTCGGTTTTCAGTATCGCTGCATTTCTGCGACCCGGGAAAAAATCGAGACTCGTTGCGACCTATAAAACCCCGGGAAAAAACGAGACGATTTAAAAATATGGAAACGTCTATACTTGTAGGCTAGGCATGTAGGCAGTCAAAACACGTATATGAATCATGTTCTTAATTAAACTTAAATGTTAAATTCAAAAATTATTGAAAGTTTATCATTTTTCTTCTGGGCACGTAAAAAATAAATTCAGATAGAGGGGTATCTGATCTTGTTACTTTCTGTTACGTTCTTCAATCTCCACAGATTATACTAAGCTCTACTCCTAAGTTTAGTAGAATACCTACTACTAAGTATTGCACGTTATTTTTTAATACTGTTTAAATAAGTGAGTTAAGTCTCAAAAAGTCTGAAAATATCAGTCTCGAGTCTCAAAAAGCCAAAAAACCGAGACTCGAAAAATTCTCGAGATCCAACGATACACACCAAACTAAAGACAAAAAACGATACAAACTAGCAAAATAAAAATGAAAGTTCCACCGGATACCGTCGTCTACAGTCCTTTACAAAATTAAGGAAGTATAGACTTGTTACGATCTATAAAACCCCGGGAAAAGCGAGACTCCACACTATTTAAAAGTGTGGAAATCTCCATACTTGTAGGCTAGGCATTTAAGCAGTCAAAACGTGATATTTTAATCAAGTTCTTCATTAAACTCAAATTGTAAAAATAAAAATTATAGAAAATTTTTCATTTTTATACTGGGCACGTAAGAAATATATTCGGATAGAGGGGACCTGACTTTATAACCGTCGTTCTGCGATCTACACAGATTATGTTATGCTCTACTCACAGTATTAAACCTGAATATATAATGACTCTTGGTTTAGTACATTTTTTAATACTGTTTAATTAACTAAATGCTCAAAAGTCTCGATATTCACGAGACTGAAAACATCAGTCTCGCGTCTCGAAAATGCCAAAAAAACGTCGAGATTCGAGAAAGTTTTCGAGACCAAGATTACTGGGATAAAGCTCTAATACAAACCAGCAAAATAATAGTGAAAATTCCGCCGGATGGAAACCGTCGTCTATAGTCCTTTACAATACAGTCTATAGTAAATACGTCCTTCTGTGAGACATAAGTTTTTGAATACCATGTGTCTGTGATAGAGCTAGTTATATATATTCTTCAATCAAGAATTTAGCAGTATTGCTTTAAGATAGGAATAAATGTGCAGTGTGCTTTCGGAATGGCGTGTATTTCCCAAAAATGATCTTAAAATTTGCTTTTCTTTTGATTAAGGAATGCTGATACCGCAAGACATCGTTGGGATCAAGGAATTCAGATCAACTGCTAAATACATCCTGGTAGTGGAGAAAGATGCAGTCTTCCAGAAGTTACTGGACGAAGGAGTTCTTGTTAGATTAGGGCCGGTTATACTTATGACGGTAAAAATATATGCTTTTAAAGACAGACTAGCGATATTAGCCATTTAATGTTGTAATATCAATCTTATCATACATATATATATCACCGTCACATATATATTACAGGGTAAAGGGTACCCCGACGTGTGTACGCGGCAGCTATTGTGCAGACTTCGCTCAGAGCTGCAATTGAATGCGCTAGCGCTGGTAGATGCCGATCCACACGGCTTTGAGATTTTCCTCACTTACAAATATGGATCTTTGGTAAGAAGCACTTATTTAATGGCATACAAACAAAAAACATCTATTCTCTTCTAGACATGTATACAAAACACATATATATCATGTTTGTAATTAAGTAGGTAAACATATTAAATGTACTAAGACAACATGCTTGCAATGCAAAAGACACTCTTAATACATCGAGTTAAAAGTGTCTTATGTTTTAATAATAATTAATTATTAATAATAAATCTTTATTGAGTCAACATAATTGCATGATGTCTTTTAAAATTACGTGAGATTTTTTTAAGATAAGGAAGAATATTATCTCTTGTACCAGTTTTAAATAAAACTGTATGTCAGCCGCTACATCTTACATTGGATTCAATTTACAAATCGTCAATGTTTTGTAAAAATACTTTAGGCATATTTTAGGTTAAATGTTAAATATTTTGAAATATTTATGGTCTGTTTTAAAATTCCATTTTGGTTTTTAATTTAAGGTTAAGTTTTAAAACTGAATTTTAAACACGACGAAAATATATTAAAACTGCCGTGAAAATCTAAAACATGGTTTATTGAAAAAAAAAAAAATTTGAAAAGTCGTTTATACCCTTTCTACAAAACACCGACGAAATATTGTATTGCCAAACAATTTAATATGGTACACTACACATTGGACGTATAGTCCTTTAGTCTTTTAGCCATTGTAATTGGCTTGGTCTCAGTAGATACAAATACAAAATTAGTTATTTTCTCCTCACAAAGCTACAGAATGCATATTAACAATAAAGGTACTTACAATTAGTTACATTTGTGGGAGATTGGAGCCTGAACTAGGTCTAGCCTGTATGACAGATCTCTAGACGGGTGTCTATTTTTATCACGTCAAATGGATAACGGAGAGACAAGAGGGTTAGGTTACAAATAAACACTATTGTGTGTGTGTGTGTGTGTGTGTGTGTGTGTGTGTGTGTGTGTGTGT